AACTCACAAAACCTATCCGAGAGGTGTAGCCTCAAGGATGAGAGTTGTTTTGAAGTCAATTTAGTAGTGAATTTGAATGAATTTTGATAGGTTTTGGTTTTAGACCTAAATTAAGCATGTAGGGCTAAATTTGGGTCCAACCTGGGCTAGCCATGGGCTAAGTCCAAATTGATTGTTCTGTTTGGTCAAAAATGACCTTATAAAGGATTTTCAACAAAAATTGGATGCCAATTTGAGGTCTAAGGCATTCAATTTTTGAAATTTGAGGTGTTCGACAATATTGGGGCTAATTTGGGGGTTTTGTCAAGGATGGGCAAATTGACCAAATTGGGCCATGGTATAGTTGATATTTGGACAAAATGAAATTTGGAATATTTTGGATTTATTGGGATTTTTTATGAATTTTTGGATTTTTGTGTCATGGAGGGGTATCTTGGTAATTTGGCCATTTTTGGAAATTTTTTGTCAATTTTGGCAAAATTAGATGTATTCAAGATGTTTGAAATGTGTTTTAATCAATTTTGGGTATTTTGGCAAAATTTAGGAATTTTAGCCAAATTTGGGTCCCATAGGCAATTAAGTAATTTAGAGGTGCCTAGGGGCAAAAGGCCAAGTTGGGCATTTCACGTGCAATTGGGTAAAGAACCATTTTGAATGAGTCATGGATCAATGAAATCTCCATTGTGTACCCTAGCTCCAAGTCAACACCCAGGGTCAATCCTAAGGCCAAGTAGCCCTATAGGAACTCTTCTTGAGCTTCCCTCATAATGATCTTACCTATCAAATATTAGAGGTTAGGACCAATATGTGGAACTTCAAGTTGAGTAAAGTGAAGAGTTTTGAGTTTCTAATGATGAGGGTACCCTTTCTAGTTTTCTAAGACTAGTCTATAGGAAAATCCTATGGCTAGACCTAGGCTACTAAAGAAATTTCTAGACCTCAACCAAAAGTGAGGTCAACACACATAATGTGAGGGAATAACTCTCAGTTTTGTAGACCCATAAATTTTGAAGAATTTCCTCATCTGAGTGATTAAATCCATTTTAAGATAATATTTCTATCATTTGGGGCAGTATATTATTCTTCAAATGATCTATTTGATCATTTAAATAGAAATCTTCTAGAATCTATGGGGATATGCAACTCATCACCAAAAAAAAAATCTCTACCAATATCTCAAATATTTTTTGTATGATGAATGCATGTATGAAAAATACATTCAATAAATAAATATTTTTGAGGAAATTTTTAAGATTTAAATGTTATGTATATAAAAAAAAAAAAGTTTAAGTGTTAAATATATGAATACATAAATAAAAAAATCAAGTGGCATTCTTGTGGAGCTAGAAAAATCAAAAACATCAAACATAAAACACTTCTCTTGTTAATAGAAAAATTAAAACAATTAACCAAACGGAAAATAAAATGTCAATCCAAAAGGAAAAAAAATTAATATTCAATAACTTAAATAATTATAGCCACACATAAGTAGATCAACTATAAACCCTAGGTTAGTCAACTTAAAAATGAAGCAGAAGTCCACATACACACCTAGAATAACCTAAGAATCAAAGCTTAGGTTAGATTACTTGGTACCTCTAGTTAGTACTAAGAACTATCACATATAAAATCTTAAGCCTAGAAACCCCTTTGACTGCGTATGTGGCCTAGGATGAAGTAACCCATGGATGTTGACTAATGCACCTCTAATCACTTAATATTTATGAAGGACTATGCTTGTCATTACTATGACAAAAGTGAAGACCTATGAATTTCTGGTTGGTTAATAGTATAAGGCTATCGATAAACCTGTTACGATAAAAAATCATAGGTTTCTTGATCAGAAATGTTATACCAAAAATTAGGTTAACCCACCAATTTAGTCTCATCATAAAATCTAAACTTATTATAGAGTTAGGCTTTCAACTTCTATATAGAAGTCTTTCCAACTAATCCTATCCCTTTAGTTTAGGAATCAAATCAAACTCTTCAAAACAAACTTTTCAACTCAAGCCTTTCAAATCAAAATTTCAACTCAAACATTTCAAATCAAACATTTCAACTCAAATCTTTTAAATCAAACTTTTTGATACAAACCTTTCAGATAAATTTTTTTAAATCAAACCTTTCAACTCAAACCTCTCAATTTAAAGTTTTCAACTCAAACCATTCAAATCAAAAACTTTAAATAAAATTTTTTTACTTAAATCTTTCAAATAAAATCTTACAAGTCAAACATTTCAAACCAAACTTATTCCACCCAAATAATACAATTTTAATTCATTACAATTTTCTTTTTAACTTCACCCTAATTCTACCAAACCCAACTCTTCAATGATTTCCCAATTTCAATCCCATAGTATATCTTTTTCTCAGAGTTGGTTAATCCCCTTTTGTGAGGCTTCTTAAGACACATCTTCACTAGACTATAAGCATCAACTCTTGAATTCTATAAATAGTCCATTCAAATCTTGAATGTATCAATTGAAATCTTAAAATACAAATCTTGAAATATCCAACTATTAAACACCAATACTAAAATGCTAAATATTCAAGTTAATACTTCAATCAAGATTTTTCTCGGGGGTTCTCAACTCCTAGGATGTAATTAACTAGAGGATCTTATCCTTATAGCGATATCATACCTCAAAATAAAAATAAAATTTATCTTACATTTGTAAGGTATGGAAAAAATCTTCGGTTAATCAGGCTCATAAATCTTAAAGATTTTTATTATTTCAATGATTAGATTCATTTCAAGATAATATTTCTACCTCTCAGAATAGTATATTATTATTTAAATGGTGTATCTGATTAATTAAATAAAAATCTTTTAAAATTTGTTGTGGATGCACTGTAATAACATGAAGAAAATATACCAACATATGTTAGTATCTTGAAAGATGCCTCTTCCTAATCTTGGAACCAATCCATTCAAATTGAGGTAATCTACCGATTTTTAGAGGAGATTGGGGCTCCATTATAAGATTGGAGAATCTCTCTATTGTATTGGAACCAATGTATCTAAAAAGGGATATTGAACTCATTTTTAACGATGGGTGAAAACCATCACAAGGACTGAGAATGAAAAGTAATATTTCTAACTAGTGACAATCAACTCATTTTAGGATCATATCAAAGCCCTATTATTTACTTCAAATTGTCTAAAAGGAGATAAACACCTAATTTTTAGAAGATGACTAAAGTTCCATTGAATGAATTATAAGTATTGGGGTGAGCATCTTTTTGTTTATTTTTCGCTATTAAATATCATTATTTAATACTTAAACTTATTTATATTTTTTTATTTTAAAAATTAGTTTCTTTAGTAACATGTGCACTCGTGTGCATGTGCACCACTTGCACCAGTGCTAACCATTCCAACTCACACAAGCCCTTTTTTGAGCCCATGCATGCCTAATCCAATACTTTTTTGGATCATTTAATTATTTTTCAATATTTTGGACTCAATTTTATAACTTTTTGATTCCAATAAACTCCTTACATTCAACTTTGAGAAAAATTGAAGAGTTTGAAGCTAGATTATTTAGTAATTTTATTAAAATTGATGCAAATACTTAAAAAATGATAAAATTACTATTTAATTTTTTTTAATGCATAATATTGAAAGAATGTCCACATGTTCAATGAATGGTCATGCCCTATATTATTTTTAAAAATTCAAATATATTTTTAGATAAATGAGCTTGACGTTCAAAAATAAGAGAAATGATATGTCATTATAAAATTCATCTATATTAGCATAAATCTTATTGCATATTTTTTAATTGAAAAGTTCTAGGATTAAGTTTAGGATTATCCAACTCTAATCTCAACAAAATTTTTGTCAAACTTAATAAATTCAAAAAAAAAAAAAAAACTTTTTGTCAAACTTAATAAATTCAAAAAAAAAAAACAATGATTTGATTTGGGTTCAAATAAGCTAAATGCAAGCAATCTCAACATGAGGAATCAAATAGGCTCAACTTTACTCAATTTTTGTTCATTAAGGCACATAAATACTACATCAATGATCAATAAATAAAAAAAATAACACAATTAATTCAATTGAGAGTTCGGTAGGATTTATTTTGAACTAGCTTAAATGGGATACTCTCTTTCCCCCATGTCCAAAACAATAGAAGAGTTTGTCGGAATGATGACGGACGAGATTGGAGGGGCACCGACCTGAATGATTTTAATGGAAAATGTTATTTTTGAGGATATATGGTGTTTTAGGTGCTTTAAATCTAAATTAATAATTTTGGATGAATTTTGTAATATGAGAAAATTTTGGTCTTATTTATGTAAATGCCCCTTTTTAAAATTATTATTATATGCATTTTAGTGACTATGACTAGTGTTGGGGTGTAAACAAACTGAACAAGCTCGTTAAAAAAATTATAATTGTTCATGTTCAACGTTTATATTTCAAACAAACAAAAAAAATATTTATGTTCTTCTTAATAAGTCAAATATGAATTGTTCTTGAACAACGTGGCATTATGACAACCTAGGCTAGTAAAAAAAATTACGTACGTAAGACGTACACAAAGCTGCATATGTAAATAGATTACAGAGAGGGTATTGGGGGCTATAACCGTGTTATATTTCTGTAACTTTCCTGTAACTTACATATAATTTATATGTATCTTCTAATAAATTTCACTTTTTTATTTTCATATATTTATAGGTTACAATAAATTATAGAACTTACAGTACCTATAAACTTCTTGGGTACACAAGAAACCACAATACCAGAGCAGCGGTATTCCCTCGGTTCACTTTTCGAGCCGTCGTTCATTGCCGCCTACATGTAATTTATATATATCTCCTAATAAATTTCACATTTTTATTTTCATATAATTGTAGGTTACGATAAGCCATAGAACTTACACTAGCTATAAACTTCTTGGGTACACAAGATACCACAATACCAGAGCACCGGTATTCCCTCGGTTCACTTTTCGAGCCGTCGTTCATTGCCGCCCGGCCATTGCCGCTCGGCCGTATCTGACATTTTCTCCAACACGGGGAGCTCGGTCTTGGCCTCAAGCAGCCAAGACCATCCTCTCTTTCCCTCTCCTGCTTCCCTTCCCCCTAACCAAACAATAGAAGCCCTAACAATAGCCCTTCTTTAATGTTCGCCTAATAGCTGGCAATCCCTTCCTTCCTTGCTTCCACCTTCCCAATTGTGTAGGTTCCACGTCGCGGAACCCAGGGAATCAATCTTCTTCACCACTGGGTTCCTGGTTCCGTTTTGATTTCGCTGTTTGGATTGAAGATGGCGCTTGTTCCGGCGAGAACGGACAATTACTTTCTGGATTTGGAGATGGACGGTTCCGTCGAGTCCATTGGCCGTCTTCTCGACTTACAAAAAAAGCTCTTCCACAGCCAGATAGAGCAGTTACAGAGGCTGGTTACTAACCAGTGCAAGCTCACGGGGATCAATCCTCTCTCACAAGAGATGGTACGCTTCCTGTTGCCCTTTTTTACAATCTGAATAAATGTATTTCTTTGATGGTAGACGTCTGTTTCATAATGCGGAATTAGAAAGGAGCATCTGTGCCCTATATGTTTTTCTTTGGCTTGTCACGATTATATGATCAATGATTTCGTTCTTCTCGAGTATTTATGGACTCAGATAATAAATCTGATTCATAATATGCAGGATCGAGTTTGAAAATTTTCGTCAAAAGCTTCGGAAACATTTTATGTTGTTCTGTGGATTTGCTGTCTTACAATGTCTAATAAGCTCTGTCTCTAAAATTATTTTATGATTCATTTTTTGGGATTCCAGGACATTCTGTTGGGCGATGTCTTAAAAATCTTGATAGGAGCAAGATGCCAATGATCTCTGCATCAAGAGAATGCATGCTGATATATAATTTTCTCTCAGAAATAAGCTTTTGTTCACTGTCTATTTGAGGATATGTCATATAACTTTCTTTTTTTTGGCTCCTTGTGTGTATTTCTTCTGCAATTAAACTGTTTGTTCGTCATTGAATTATTTTGAAATGACTGTAAAGTTTTCTCTCGTCTCAGAGAAAGAATTCTCAACTCCATTTGTGATCTAACTTTATGAGAAAAGCATGATCATTTTTATAAATATTATCTGTGTAGTGTATAACTAGCTGTATTCTATCAGTAGTTTTGTGTGCCTGCTGCAAATCAAGATGCATCTTGTTTTTTTTTTTCTTTTTTTTTTGAGTGGTAGTAATTAACTAGCTTAATTTATGGCACATTCTGAATAGCATTGGGAGATGTTCGTTCTTTCATGGTATTTTTGTTTCCAGCTATAGTATTTTATAAGAGTCATTTCAAACATACTTTGGTAGTTGTGTTTATTTAATCCTTTAGGGTATTTGGTGAATATTTTTTTTGTTACAATATCCGGTTTATATATGATGGATCAGAATGTTACTTTTTTGCGTTTCACCTCCATTTAGGAGTTCTATGGTTATTTTGGCTATTCTTGTGCCATGTTATCATGGTGATTTTTTACTTGTACAATTTTAATTTTTCCATCCTTTTCTTTTTCAGGCTGCCGGTGCACTATCAATAAAAATTGGTGAGTTTAGGCCTTAAAAACTATCATGTATTTGCTAAATTTTTCTTGGAAGTTCACAGTCATGTGCTTCAATTTACTGTGAGAATTTGGTTTTTGCTTTATTTTCTATTTTTTTTGGTTTTGAAATAAGTTAAGAATAGGTTTAGATGGATGAATTTAAATTTGATTACCTATCTACATCTACTCGAATGTGTAGCTCTTTGTTGCAAACCAATTAAAGAATTTCAATGAACTTAGAGTGCTCACCCTGCCCGAGACAAAAAAAAAGGGTTACTTGTCTATTTGCAGTTATCAATCTTGACCTGCTCATTTGAACTTTTATCGCAATGGTTTTATTTGTTTTCCTTAACAATACTATTGTATAGGCATTGAACTACTCAGTTGTATGTGTTCATTGAGTTTTATTTAATAAGGTTTAGCTAGGGCTCCCCTTTCCCTGCATTGATTGGGACGCAAATGCATTCTTGTGTACTTCCTCAAATTTTTTATTATTTTCATGGTAGGTCACCTAGTTTATTACTGTCGATATGTTTAATTATACCAGCAACAGACTTTTAATGGTTATTTCCTTTAACTTTTTAAGTGGTTTTAGCTTTTGTTTGGTACAACTGCTGTTGTTTGAAAATTCAAGTTAACAACTGCTGCTAAAATAATTGTTTAGAAATTCTGCTGCCTAAAATTCATTGCCTTGATTTATATGTTTGGAAGACTTGCGGTGGAGCTATTGCTTATAATCCAAAAGCTATTATTACTTGTTTGATTGCAGCATTCTATGTGTTGTAAACCAAAAAAAGTTTGAAGTACCCACAAAATGGAAACGTCATAAAGCTTGTGCATTGGATTAAGGGTTTACTTTGGATGGTTTTTGCTGTCATAAGAATAGTTGTGGGAAACACAGTTTTTAAAGCAGTCATTCATGTTATTGCCTTTTTCATTTAGAATAAATCTAACAGTTTTCCTACACTTAACACACTTTGGCATATTGGTTGTGAAAATCTCTTTATCATAGAGGTTTTTGAAGAAAGAAAGTTTTAGCTATATAGAAATGTGGCAATGGTCCATTAAGTAAAGCTTTGAAAAAACAATCTCAAATTCACCCTTAAGGTCATAAATCTATTTTTTTAGTTGATAAAAAAGGTCCCAATTATTATGATTTGTCAATTTGAATTTTATTGACTAGGTGATTTAAGAGGTGCAATCTATTAACAATCAGAGAATGGTGTATATCCTAACAGACCGTAACATAAATATAAATGATTGGACATTTTACACACCAAGACGCCGGTATCTCAACAGTATGATGGCTCCATCATTAAAACTTGGTTATAGCTCAATGATTGACAATCTGGTAGAGCATTGATATGTTTAAGTGAAAAGTACAACAACAAATTAGGGTTAACTAGCTGTTCGCTAGTAGTAGATTCACACCAAATGCAGCCTAAGCAGTAAGCATATGTCAAATCTATTCGTACTTTTAGTTGATCATTACTTGTTTTCTATGTTGCTTTACAAAAACCTATAATTCACACAAGTAGTTTCCAAGAAGACCATGAACATTTGAACCATTATTATTGTTAATTTTATTTATGTTCTAAAACTAGAAAAGCATTGTATCAATACATAAGTTATCTACAGCACAGCAATAACATAGTAAATATTTTAAAAAAAAAATTATGATATTTTTTGAATTATAAACTCTATGGTGCACCTCCTTTTTCACATAACCAATGACACTTAATTCCAATAACTCCTAAATAATAGGCCCATAAATAATTAAAGAATCACAATTTAAAGGAAAGACTCACAAAGTTTTTATGCGATTCTTCCATCCCTCTTGCTTTTACTCCATCGTCAATGTCACTTTGTTGGGAAATGTGTTTGCCATAATGATGCCAAATTCCTTATTTTGAATTTAAGTTTTATCATTTTTGTGTTGTCCAAATTCAGTGTCCACTTGGGAAGGATGTTTTCTTGCAATATCATTGTAGGAATATCCATGTGTCTTTGTTTCTAGAATAAAGTTTGACATGTCTCTTAGTAAATCCCACTTTTTTATTTCATACACCAAATGCTTGTCAATAAAACTCCTCGATGATGACTTTCATTGATTAAAAATTTCATTGGGTTCACAAATCACATATTTGGCTTGTAAGAAATCTAGTAGATGATACCTCGTATGTCTACAAAACTTTTAAGAAGCCTTGTTGCGAAAGCTTTTAACGAGTAAAACAACATATAATTGATAGGGTTGCAATAAATTGTTACTCATAATAAGAAATTATAATTAAAAATTATTTCACTTATTTTCCACAGCCAATTATAATTTCCAGAAAAACTCTTCTTAATTTCTTGCTTAAAAAATCACCATTTCTTTTCATTGTCAAGTCCATCAAAAACACTTGTTTTAGTTTGTTGTTGGATGTCATCAATGCAAACCCTTAGATGTGTTGACCTTGCTCAGCCTCTTAACAACAACTAAAACAAGCATTCATCCCACAAAGTGGGGTCGACTACATTAATCCTTTTTCTCCATGATGTACTATTGAGTGTGATATTTTCCTCTAATTCTAATAAATTATGAGAATTATTTTTTACAATATGCTCAAGTCTTTTTAGCTCTACCTCCACCTTTCTTAACATAAGTCAAATCTAAAACATGTACTCTCTTAACCAGATCATCAGATGGTCAATGTTCAATTTGACCAAACCATATAAGATGACTCTCTCTAATCTTGTCTGCCACTAAAGCTACACCAACTCTTTCACGGATATATTCCACGGATATATTCGTTTCACATTTCATTTTGTCTCTAAGTGTCGAGCCACTCATCCAACTTAGGATTTTCATCTCAACAACATTTAACTTGGTTTTATGCTTCCCTTTTATAGGCCAACATTCTGCGCCATGAAGCATTGCAGGTCTCACTGCCATTGTATAAAATTTTTCTTTTAAGCTAAGCAGTACTTTTCTATCACACAATAGGTCCGATGCATGCCTCTCTAATTTTACTAAGCCTCTTAAGTTGAATATATGATTGATACTACCTGGTGAGTACACAGTGGCCATGTTTGCTGTGACGTCAGTTAGTTGGCTAAGTTTACCTAAGGTCTTTTGTACAACGTTTATGTTATTTATTTTGTTCATTTTATTCTTAACCAGTGAACCTGCAAGCCACCTGAAGCTACTAGAATTACCTAATTGTCCATCAGATACATTCATAACTTCATTATGCTTGCTGTCGTAATCACCATTGCCTGAATCTCCACTCTTTTTGTATGCCCTATGGGAGTACCCTGGAATAAGCTTTCCAAGCCTAATCCCTTGTGAAAACTATGTTAGCATACATCATCTTAAGCTTCTTCTCTAGTTCATGAAAAATAATGTTATTCTTGAATTTTTTGACGAGGACAGCATAAAAATTCAAGTTTTGTTTAAAAATCAAATTCATTATGTTTTGACTGCTTATATTTAAGGTACATCAAATGCAACTTTTCGTTCCACTATTCATTAAGAGAAGTATTTATTCTTTTCTTTAGATCCTAAGCTAATCCTCTTAAACCATGAATTAAGCCATGTCATATCTTCCACTCCTTTTGTTGATCTCATATATTTTAAAGTTGTGTTTTATTACTCAACCAACATTTTCACATTAATTTCAAAATTAGGATTATCTCAACTCTCCTTATTGAAATAAGCAGCAGCCGATTGCCTTTTTGAATCTCTAAAATACAACATGCCGAAAAAAATGCAGGGAATTTACAAGATCTCACTGTGCCAGATGCCCATCTTCCTTAGCTTTACTCATTATTATGCCAAATGAAAAAAGAAATTTGATGCATAGACTACCTCAGAAAATAATGATGACTGTTCAGAAAAACTTTTCATGAACTCATAGGTTAATAATAAAAGAAAAAGCTAAAATGATGCTAAAAAATACAAACTACTTGCTTTTTTGAGACTTTGAGGCAGCGCATTTTCACATGTGATTTTTCAGCGAATATAAACATATTATTAATGTTGCATGGCTGTTCTGACCTCCTTTGTTGAACAGTGATTACTTTTAGCATTGCAATCTATATAGCATACACTACTAGATCAAACAAAAGCTACTGTTATTGACATTAACATTTTTAATTGATGATGATATATTAGTACTGTGTTTAGAATTATAGTAAACTGAATAACTTTCTCTTTCCTCAATCTGGATGAGACAGTATTTAGGGGCCAGTACTGATATTCACCCTGGTAAGTTTCTTTTATCGTCAAATCTGACCTCCAGTTTGTTTTATTACAAGTTCTAATTAATCAAAAGACAAGCCTGAGTCCTAGAAAGATTCACCATACGCATTTGTTGCACTAGCAGAAATGCTTTTATGCTTAAATTAACTCTATAAATAAACAAATAAAGCATTTTAGGTAACTTGTGTTTACCATTCTAAATGATCTTAAAGTTCTTTGAATTGGAAAATATCCTCTTGAAGAGCATGTATAAAAACCTTTGCGTTGAGTAGCCATAATGGCAGATTATACATCTCAACCAAAGCACCACAAAGAACTCTTTATATGATCGTGTTTTGATTTAGGGATTTACATTTAAGTAGATAAACTTTTAACATATAAGTCAATAAATTCAGATTCATAATTATCTCATAGTGCTAAGGCGGACAATAGTTGCAAGTGATTGGTAAAATTCTTTTTATCAACCAAAAGCCTGCTGTTTTTTTTTTTGATTTCTTCAATAAAGTGGAACAAATTTTATACGGAATGAGAACGTTAGGAAGGATGATATAATACCTTAACTGATTATTGGCTAAACAGGATTGAATTAAGTTGCAGGAGAGCATTAGTTGTAGAATAGAAAAAAAATCATGATTACCCAAACGAGATTGTGGAGCTGGAGATTGCTGTTAGAGGAGCAGATTAAATCGTGGGTATTCTCTGGTCTTGGGATGAGAGCTGCTTGTCAGAGAAGGCAATTGCTTCTCACAAAGAAGGAGAAAGTTTCTCACTCAAGCTAGAGATTACTATTTGCAAAGTGAGTTGATTCAAATGGAAAGATCTTACGTTTGACTTTAAAAGAAAATTGTGGTTCCAGACTCATGACATTGAAGTGACTCATCAAAGAAGGAAATATCACATGCTGGAGAACATATTGTTGCTTGCTTTAGATTGGACAGGGAAAGGACAAAAGTCAGTACTCTTAAGGAGCAACCTTAATGTGGAGGTCGAACTTCACATAATACCAGTGTAATATTCGAAAAGTGTAGGGTATTTTGTTCTTTTATTAAATTCAAAATGGTGGAAACACTTGCCATAAACACTGAATGCCAAGGGATCTCATCTAAACATTTAATGTAGATGAAAAATTGCTTATGTATAAGAACAGGCAAAATATGAGATCTAAACAAAGTCCTAGTCATTTTAAGTTCTAATTTATCCACACATTGTTTTGAAATCCTTAGGTCCTTAATATAATTCATTTTGATGGATTTCCTTTCAATTAAAATTTTTTGGTTTCTGCAGGGAAAAAGCCTCGGGATCTGCTTAACCCAAAAGCTGTTAAATACATGCAGTCAATTTTTGCTATTAAGGATACTATTGGGAAGAAAGAAACTCGTGATATTAGTGCTCTTTGTGGAGTTACAATCACGCAGGTTTGGCCCTTGTTTATTGTTTTTTCTAGAGTCCGCTTCCTTTTTCTTGACCGTATTAGTATTTTCTGAATTTTTCCTCAGAAATGCTTTGCATTGTGTCGACAATGCTTCATCATTTTTTGTCAGTTAATAATCTTTTGGCTGTTCATGAAATCTTTTACTGTTTTGGTCACTCTATTTGTTTAGTTCACGATTCTGGCTAGCTATTTAAACTGCACTGCAACCTTTATACAATTTTTATTGTTACTGCTATGTTTTGTACGAATAGGCATGGTTTTCGTTTACAACTTGTGATGTTATATTTGTATTCCTTTTTCTGTCAACTACAATGCTTTTTTTAACTAAAAAGTTTATGAACAGGAATTTTGATAATTGCTGCAGGTAAGGGATTTTTTTGCCGGGCAACGATCAAAAGTTAGAAAGCTTATTAGTCTTGCAAGGGAAAAGGCTGTCAGATCGGATGCATCTGATACAGCTAATGAGGGATGCTCTACTAAGCCTGAGGTAGCCCTTATTTGTGGAACTGACACACCATCAAATGCTTTTGATGTCAAAAATGTTGCAGAATCTGCAGAAGTTCCGGCTAGCAATGGGAACTTACCTGCCATTCAGTATTGTGAACATGTTCTCGTGAGCTCCATTGATGCTAAGCCCATTCAAGTGGTGCCTCCTTCATCCTCTTCACAGGAGGAAAGTATACCTGGTATTGATGAGGATGATAAAAAATTTTTAGAGAATATTTTCAACTTAATGAGGAAGGAAGGGACGTTTTCTGGACAGGTGAAATTGATGGAATGGATTCTTCAAATCCACAATTCAGCAGTATTAGTTTGGTATTTGACCTTGACTTTGATGAATTTCTATATTCTGTTTTAAGAATATTTGTCATTTGTCCTAATTAATGTAATCTTGAAATAATTTCAGGTTTTTAACTAAAGGTAGCATCACAATTTTAGCTACATGGCTGAGTCATGCAGCCATTGAGGAACAGACAACTGTACTTAATGTCATTCTTAAGGTTTCAATCTTCATTTGTCACAGGTGTAAATTTATTTCCATACTTAGGCAATCACTTGATGAAATTTCTAAATATTCCTAGGTTCTTTTTCACCTACCACTACATAAGGCACTTCCAGCACAAATGTCTACTATCTTGTCTACACTGAACAAGCTTCGGTTCTACAGGACACCAGGTTTGTACTCATTAATGATATATTTTCATCAATATTCATATAAGCTGATATTGTGGTATATTGGTTTGATTCCAATCTAGCTTCATAAAGAAACACATTGCCCGCTTTGGTATATTTTGCTATCATTGTTCCCTTATTTAAAGACATGAATTGGACTCCACTCTCTAATCCCTTTAAGGTTGCTTTGGACTCTTTCACACTTCTTCCTTCCTTCCTCCATGTTAACTATCGTGCAGCTTGTCTTGATAGGATGAATGAACGAATGTTATGGCCTCTCCCCTTTCATGTAAATGTTTAATGATGTGTGGGAGATATTTTTATGGTATGGCTCTTTTATGCATCAGTTTTTATGATCAACAAGTTAATGTTGTTTTTAGGAACTTGAAACTCGAGCAAATTTCTTACAATTTAATTCTCCACAAATTATTCTGTGCCATTGATTCTGTATGAACATTTGCATCACAGTTTCTCATATATATCTCGTGTCTATGAATCTCCAAAAATTAATCTATGTTGTGAATCCTGGCTTGGAGGGACGTGATAAGGTATTATACACCACATTTACAAGGGGATAGTGATTTTTGCAAAAGCAGCAATTGTATCCTATAAGAAATGCTGTGGTCATAGATGTTGTCTGACCACCTATGCATGTGCATGTCGATACATATACCAGGGCACCATTCATCTAGTTGCTTTATGGCTGCAAACGTTTTTGAAAACATTGTCACACTTTTATTCGGATGCCCCCGTACAAATCAATAGCTGATTTTATACTTTGCAAGAACATAAATAGAAACATGTAAACAGTTGTTATGTTAAACAGTATATGATGTGCCATCATGTCCTCGCCTAATTTGGGAACTTGACCGATCTTAATGAATATCAGTCTAAATAATTTGTATTTAATTTTTCTGATGCATTATCAAACATTTGAAATAATGATTTTAATCTTAAATAAACCAGGTTGGATATCGAACGTTATTAATGCAATATTCTGGAATCCTTCTGGCATCTAATATTGGGCATGGGCATGTTGCTCAATTTATTGCACTCGAACACAAACAATCAATAATAAAATGATTTAAAGTTAACTGATTGATAACTCAGTATCTTTACCAGCTATTTTCCACTTCATTTCCACACGCCCAACTTCTCCATTTCCACTCATAATTTTGTAGTTGAAGGCCTAGCATGTCCATTAAATCAAGATTTTCCTGACCACTTTGTGATTGGGAAATTACTATTGATAGATCTTCCATAGTTATTATTTGTCATATCTTTATTATTTAAGGCTGGCTTAATATTTTATTTTCCTTATTTCCTATTGAGTCTTGCGTGAAGTTTGTTATATTTTGCACCTTTTTTCCATTACACAGTTTGCACGTTTCTGTTCCCTGAACTTCAGTCTTTTTGTATAGTTTTCTTTCACTAAGAGTTGTCTATGATCTTTCTAGAAGGGTTTATACGAAGATTTAGACTGTACTTACATCTCCACAGCCAGATGCACCTCCGAGTATCTTTTTACCTTAACTCTGTTTTCAGTATATTCATGTCATGTTCATGTTTAAACCTTTTTGTTAATTATTTACTCTGGCTTTCAAGATATTATTTGAACTTTTATTTCTTAAGGGAAAAAAAATTTCTGGATGGCAAGAGAGATGTTGAACAGTGCTCGAACTTGTAGCATATTGGTTGGAAACAAAGTACAATAGCTCATAGAGCCGGGTTTGAGTGCTTGCCCTGCCCAAAAAGAAATAAAAGAGCAATGCTGAATACTTTTCTTAAGCCTAGATAATATAACCTTATGAGCTTGTCTAGGCATGCAAAAGCCAACTTGATCCGGTCATTGGGTGGCCAGAATCATTTGATCTCTTTATACCCTTACGTACAAATTAGCTTGGCATTTTCTTCTAGATTATTTTACCGCTAATAGGATAGTAAATAACCACACGTGCAGTTTGCATCAGTTACTACAGTAGAGCATATATGCTGCTATTTCCCTTAATATATGTTTATTTTAAGCATGTATTCTCTGCTGAATGTGTGCTTTATTTGCTCTTTTGTAATGCATTTTTTTCCATGAAACTATTTGCATGACTTTTGAATTTGATTGGAAGATCAGACATATCAAACAGCGCATGGGCTCTCCTTGCTAGGTGGAGCAAAATTCTTGCAAGAAATCAGACTCCAAATTATCCTTCGATATCAAATTCTTCCTATGGCATTCAGAAGGACATCATTAGGAAACAGAGGCATGTGATTTATTCTGGATATTTTCTTTTTTGGTTTTGTTTTCAAATTTACTATATAATTAACTTCTGCTTTTTTATCTTTGAGTCATTAGGATAAGTGAAATTCTCAGTGATGAATTTTGGCGGTCCAAAATTGGTATCAAAGTAAGTATCTGTGAAATTGAGTGCATTTACAATTTCATAATGAAGTTTTTCTTACTTTCTCCCTCTTTTTAGGATGAAGTTCTTGCTCTGACAGAAAGTAGTGGGAATGACAGGTTCATATTTCTTCAATGGCTATATTTGTTAATGATTTCAGTGATTACCCTACTTCAGAGCTTATAACCTTAGTAATTTTTAGACAATGATGAAGACTTTTTACTCTTTTGTTCAGTAAATCAGACTCTAAACTGGCATTGAAGCTGCTTACAGCATCGTGTGATCGTTCAAATAGAAAGCAAGGCCAAAGTGCTTTACCAATTAGTATCCTTTAGCTCAATCTATAACTTGGTACGCTAGTTCTGCTGAGCATTGTTGCTGGCTTCTTTTTTATCTCCAAAATACCAATCAGAAAGACCTTTATTTCCTCTTTTGGGCTCCTTGTTACTCAAAAGGACTATTACCTTTTCAGTCTTTGATACCTGCTTTTTGCTTAGCTATTGAACAAATGTCTGGAATGATTTTCGGTGGTGTGTTGAAGCACTATTTAGTGAACATCATTCATGCATTATTTTGTCAATTCAATAGAAGAGCATACTACTTCCGGAATACTTTGCCTGAATATTTTGCAAAATGGAAAGCTTGGTTATAATTGCCTTGATCTTTCTATGAGATTTAGGTATGGTCAACAGCTAACCTGTTGAAGCCAAAACAGAGGGAAAGACGTGCACTTGCATCCTCTTTTTTCCATTTATAATTATGCAAAATTTCGAATTGAAGTATCTCCTTCCAAACATCCAAGAAATAATGAAAAGCCTGTGCGCAATGGTAAAGATTTTTTTTTAAAAAGGTTGTCTTGATTGGTTTCAGCCATACTGATTTCTATTGCAATTTCAAGGCGAAGTTGTAACCATTAATTTTTTTAAAGAAAGAAACATAGTCTGTAAAAGGATATTGTAGAAGTCTTTTCATCAGGCAGAAAGTTTAGATTTTCCGTAACAGGTGCATAATTGGTATTTTCCTTAAGTAGTTAATAGAAATAAAAGAACGCAGAAAAGTTCTACTGGTAGAGCAGCTTGATGAGAAACCAGCAGGAAGAATTGCACAGGTAGGAAAAGTGCAACCATCAAATCATAGTCGTCCAATCTCTGCTGATGATATTCAGAAGGCAAAGATGCGTAAAATGTTCATGCAACATAAGTATAGAAAGGCAGATGCATCTTCTAGCGAAAATAAGAAAATAGAAGATAGCAAAGACCTACCACCAGCTGCTCAGTCTAAAAGTATTTTTACTTCACCCAGAAAAATACAGGAAGCACAAATAAAAATAGAGGAAGAGAAGCTTGCTGAAGCTTTACCTGGTGGTGGTTCTGAAACTCCAGTTGACACTATATCTACTGGAGCTCTCCAGGAAGGCTTGTTGGAGAGGCTCAAGAGGTGTCAGTTCCAGTGGCAGACCCCACCAGGTATCATTGTTATTAAATTTATTATTATTATTATTTTATTTATTTATTTATTTGTTTACTCAAATTTCTTCTTCAGTGTTTTCAGCGTGGGAGAAAACCTGGTGTTGGTATTGTATTCCCATGGCAATGTTATTTTGGTTGAACAATGTGCTTTTTGTGGAATCTGATCTATTTGTTCCTCCGTTTCATCAGATCACATAGCTTCCTTTGTGCTGTGGTCTCTCAAATTTGACCAATGCTGTTTTACAAAAATTGGACAGTTCATCAACCATTTGCTTCAATGGTGTTAGAGAAAAAAACTTCTTATATAATTATTATGCCTAAAGCTAAATGACAGTTCCTCCGTTTTATCAGATCACATAGCTTCCCTTGTGCTGTGGTCTCTCAAAATTGACCAATGCTGTTTACAAAAATTGGACAGTTGATCAACCATTTGCTTCAATGGTGTTAGAGAAAAAAGCTTCTTATATAATTATTATGCCTAAAGCTAAATGACTACAGCTATGATGCACGAACACTCCCCATTAAACAATCGTCTAGTGTCGTACAAATATCGGACACTGACACGGCTCTCACACTTGTTGAACCCAACATAGAAGTGTCCAATTTAAGTAATATCTTAAAAGAATTGGATGTGTCCAACATATGTGTCCTAAATTAATAAATTAAAAAGTATTAAGAATTTTTTTTGAGATTTAAAAATATTTTTATGTAAAATTTAAGAAAGATTTGCATACATACCACTCAGTTTTTATGCATTTTATGTTTTTTTCTCTTTTTAGAATTGAAAATAATGATATATTAGATGTGATGTGAAATATTTGGTTGGCTTAAATATAAAAATTAAAATTCAGGTGTTTAATTTGTAAATTCATAAGAATTTGGTGTCAAAGAAGCAAGTGTTTTTTTTATTTCTTTTAATTAATAGTTGATTAAGAGGAATTAAATATTGATATAATAGAAGATAATATATGTTTATTTTTTTGCATGTGGCTTTTTGGAATCAATTTTTATTTTTTGTTTTTTATTTTTGAAAAAAAAAGAAGCAAACATGAAAATAATGTTTGCTTATTTATTGTTGGTTTTATTTTTTTTTATTTTTTAGAATAACACTTCTGTTTTTAAAATATAAAAAACAGAAAACGAGTTTTTGTCTGTTTTTAAAACACCAAAATAACCTTTAGCCAAGGCCTTCTCCTCCGCTTGACACCGCCTTCCACTGGCTGTTGTTTCCATCAGCCTGCAGCCACGTGCTGCCGCCCTAGCCGCCGTCGCCGCTGTCGCCGCCTGCCGTTGCCACTAGCAGCCTGACGCCGCCCACCACCACCTGTCGCCGCTCCCCCCCCGCTCCCCCCCTCCCACCCCCCCCCCCAGTTTTCCT